AAGATGAAGAAGAAAATGCACAAGGGTTGGAAAACCTATTTGAGGGAATAATTGAGGAAAACTTCCCTGGTCTTTCTAGAAATTTAGATATCCAGGTACAAAAAGCTCAACGAACACCTGGGAGTTTCATCACAAAGAGGCAATCACCAAGACAAATAGTCATCAGACTGGCCAAAGTCAACAGGAAGGAGGAACTCCTGCAAGCTATGAGGTGAAAACATCAAGTAACTTATGAAGGAAAACCCATCAGCCTAACTGCAGACATCTCAACTGAAACCTTACAAGCCAGAAGGGACTGAGGCCCCATCTTCAGTCTTCTTAAATAAAACAGTTGCCAGCCTAGAATTTTATATCATGAAAAACTAAGTTTCATATATGAAGAAGAAATAAAGACTTCTGGACAAGCAAACACTGACGGAATTTGTCAAGACCAGACCAGTCCTGCAGGAAATACACAGAACTGCATTATACATAGATCAGCACAATAGACACCTACTAGTATAAAAACACCCTAAAGCTAAAGCTCACAGCTAAAACTAAAACTCATAGAAAACAATAGCTCAAGAGGTAAAACAAAGCAACAAGGTACTACCTAACAGGATGAACAGAACAGCTTCCCACATATCAATTTTATCAATCAATGTAAACAGTCTGAATGCCCCATTCAAGAGACATATAGGCTGGATGAATAAATGAAAATAATAAAGCCCAAGATCTGCTATCTGCAGGAAACACATCTAACCACCAAGGACTCATAGAGACTCAAAGTGAAGAGATGAAAAAAAGTAATCCATGCATATGGAAACCAAAAGAAAGCAGGTGTAGCCAATCTCATATCAGATAAAATTGACTTTAAATAAACAATAGTAAAAAGAGAAAAAGATGGGTATTATATAATGATAAAGGGATAAATTCAACAAGAAGACATAACAATCCTAAATATTTATGAACCTAACACAGTAGCACACAGATTCATAAATCAAACCCTACTAGATCTAAGTAAAGAGATAAATAGCAGCATCATAATTGTCGGGAATCTCAACATTGACAGAATTGGACTGATCATGCAAGCAGAAAATAAAGAAAGAAACACCAGACTTAAATGTGACTGTAGATCAAATAGGACTAACAGACATTTAAAGAACATTTTACCCCAAATGTGCTGAATATACATTCTTCTCATCAGCACATAGAATATTCTCCAAGATTGGTCATATCTTTGGCCATAAAACATGTCTCAAAAAATTCAAAAATCAGAAATTGTACCATATATCTTCTCAGACAACAACAGAATAAAACTAGAAATTATCTCCAAAAGAAACACTCAATTCTATACAGAGTCATGGAAATTAAACAACATGCTTCTGAACGATTATTGGTTCAATAATGAAATTAAGATGGAAATCAAAAGATTCCTCAAACTGAAAGACAAAGGGGATATAAGCTACCAAAATCTATGGGATTCAGCAAAAGCAGTCTTAGAGGCAAATTCATAGCCTTAAATGCTATGACAGAAAGAGCACAAATTAACAATCCAATAACATGTCTCAAGGAACTAGCAAAGGAAGAGCAAACAAAACTGAAAGCCAGCAGAAGAAAAGAAATAAGTATGTTCACAGCAGAACTAAACAAAAGGGAAAGCAAAAAAACAATACAAAGGATCAATGAATCAAAGTGTTGGTTCTTTAAAAAGATAAACAAAATTGAGAGACCTCTTGCTAGATTAACCAGGAGTAGAAGAGAAAGGACCCAAATAAACTCAATCAGAAATGAAAAAGGAAATATTACAACTGATACTATAGAAATACAAAAATCATATGTGTATACTGTGAAAATCTCTATACACACAGAAAACATAGAGGAAATGGACTAACTACTAGAAATACACAACTTCCAAAGACTCAATCAGGAAGAAATAGAACTCTTGAATAGACTAGTAACAAGAAATGGAACTGAAGTAGTAATAACAAAATCTTCCAACAAAAACAAAAAACTCCAGACCAAATGGATTCACAACCAAATTTTAGGAGACCTGCAGAGAAGACCTGGTATCTATACTGCAGAAATTATTACATAACACTGAGAAGGAGAGAATCCTCCCCAACTCATTCTACAATGCCAATATCACTTTGATACCAAAGCCAAGAAAAGACACCAAAAAAGAAAACTACAGACCAATATCCCTTATGAATATAGATGAAAAAATCCTCAATAAAATACTAGAAAACCAAATTCAATAGCACATCAAAAAAATAATCCACTGTGACCAACTGGGCTTCATTCCAGGGATGCAAGGATGGTTGAACATACATAAATGAATAAATGTGATTCACCATATAAACAGAGGCAAAAACAAAGACCATATGATCATCTCAATTGTTACAGAAAAAGCATTTGAAACAATTTGGCACCCTTTCATGATAAAAGCCCTCAACAAACTAGGCATAGAAGGAACATATCTCAAGATTATAAAAGCCATACATGACAAACCCACAGACAACATCATACTGAATGGGGAAAAGTGGAAAGCATTCCCACTGAGAACTGAAATAAGACAAGGGTGCCCAATGTCACCACTTCTATTCAACATAGTGCTTGAAGTCTGAGCCAGAGCAATCAGGCAAGAAAAAGAAATAAAGGGTATCCAAACCAGGAAAGAGGAGGTCAAACTATCACTTTTTGCTGATGATATGATCTTATACCTAGAAAACTCCAAAAACTTCACCAACAGACTCTCAGAATTGGTAAACAAATTGGTCATAGCCTCAGGTTACAAAATGATGTACACAAATCAGTAGCATTTCTATACACCAGTAACAGTCAAGCTGAAAGTCAAATCAAAGACTAAATACTATTCACAATAGTTACCAAGAAAATAAAATACCTAGGAATATACTTAACCAAGGAGGTCAAAGATCTCTACAAAGAGTACTACACAGATGACACAAACAAATGGAAAAATATACCATGCCCATAGATTGGTTGAATCAATATTGTTAAAATGTCCACTCTACCCAAAGTGATTTACAGATTCAATGCAATCCCCATCAAAATATCAATGACATATTTCACAGGTCTAGAAAAAAATAATTCTATGCTTCCTTTGGAACAGAAAGGAGTCCAAATAGCCATCACAATCTTAAGCAAAAAGAACAAATCTGGAGGCATCACATTCCCACACTTCAAACTATACTACGAGGCTGTAGTAACCAAAACAGCAGGGTACTGGCACAGAAATAGAGACATAGACTAATGTAACAAAACTTAGAACCCAGATATAAAATGATCCACATACAGCTAACTGATATTTGACAAAGCAGACAACAATATGCACTGGGGAAAAGAGACCCTATTCAACAAATGGTGCTGGGAAAATTGGATAGCCACACACAGAAGAATGAAGAAGGATCCATATCTTTCACCTCTCACAAAAATTAATTCCAGATGGATAAAAGACTAAATGTAAGGCATGAAACCATAAGAACTGTAGAGGAAAATGTTAAGAAAATTCTTCTAGATATAGCCTAGAACAAAGAATTTTTGACACATTCTATAGGACAAAGAATTTGTGAAGAAGACCCCAATGGCAATCGTGGCAACAACAAAAATAAATAAATGGGACTTGATTATAGTAATAGCAAAAAGCTTCTGCAGAGCTAAGGAAATAACAAAGCAAATAGACAACCTATAGAATGAGAGAAAATATTCACAAGCTATATATCCACTAAGAAGCTAATTACCAGAATCTATAAAGAACTCAAGCAAGTTAGCCAGAAAAAAATAAGTAAACAAACAACCCCATTAAAAAATGGGCAAAATATATAAATAGAAGCTTTTCAAAAGAAGATAGACAAGCAGCCAATAAACATATAAAAAATGCTCAACATCATTAATCATCAGGGAAATGAAAATTAAAACCACAAGGAGGTATCACCTTACCCCAGTCACAATGGCTTTTATTAAAAAGTCTAAAAAAACTAGATGGTGGTGTGGATACAGAGAGAAAGGATGCTTACACCCTGTTGGTGGGAGTGCAAATAGAAAAACCTCTATGAAAAACAGTATAGACATTCCTGAAAGAACTAATAGAACTAATAGTGGATCTGCTATTTGATCCAGCAATTCCACTGCTAGGTATTTATCTAAAGGAAAAGAAGTCATTTTAACAAAAAAGATATTTGTACTTGAACATTTGTTGCAGCACAATTCCCAATTGCAAAGATGTGGAATCAACCTCGTGCCCATCAATTCATGAGTAGATTAACAAAATGTGATATATGTACACTCTGGAATATTATGCAGCCATTAAAAAGGAAGCCTTTTTTGCAACAATTTGGATGGAACTGAAGACCATTATCCTAAGTGAAGTATCTAGAGAATGGAAAAAGAAATACCAGATATACTCACTATTAAATTAGAACTGACTAATGAGCACACATGTGCACACAGAGAAGTAAAACTTAGCAGAATTCATGCAGGGAGCAGAGTGGAAGAAATGGTGGGCAAACACCTACCTAACGGGTGCAATGAACATTATCTGGGTGATGGGACCACTTATAACAAGCATAAAAAAGTTGATACATGTAACCAAAACCATTTGTATCCCCATAATATTTTGAAATTAAAAGTTAAAAAGGGTGTTTCAGACCCCTCTCAGCAAAAAGAGAAAAGAAAAAATATGGTCGTGTGGAATAACCTGAACTTAGGAGAGGAAGGGTTTTGGAACAAATGAGCAATAGGTTTTGGGAACCCGAGAGCAGTACTTTAACCTCATAGACTAGATGTATGTAGAGCTAATAATGTTTCAGTATCTTTATCTAGCACTAATGTATTGGTCCTTATTAAGTACAATAGTTAATGGCCCTAGTTAAGTAAAATAGTTGCTAAATTTCATGGGGGAAAAAGTTGCCATTTTGGTTCTTTTAAATCCAGAGGATTCCTATGAATTAACAAAGAAAGGATACTTCATACTATCACAACTGTAAATCAATTAACATTACCTTTATTACATAATAGGCCTGTGTTTTCTCCTCTTCTCCTTCAGGAGGCAGCATAACAACAGTAAGAATTTCATATCTGTTCTTCAGCTTATCAATTTTACTTAGCCGCTCATGAAACTCAGTGCTAAAATGAAAAGAAAAAGAAACATTCATTAAACACTAAAAATAAGTAACTTTGTGTTGTTATTGAAGACATTTGGATTTGTATTATTGCTGAACTCAAACAGTTTAAATGTGTTCTCACTTTTAAATTTAATGATACAGTGTGAAACGTTTCAGATTTTACCCTACTTGAAGACTAATGAGTTAGCCTGCCACAGTTACATGGATGCTGGTAGAAGACAATTTCTGTATCAGAGACAAAGGGCTTTATTACTCATCATGCAGGAAGCGGTATAAGCTTCCTGTCTGTATTGGTTCCCTTTGCTCCCCATATCCCATGGGGTCAAGAAATGGCTCAAATGGATGTTGTGCACAGAGTGGATTTGCATCACAGCTTAGGAACCTCAAGCTTAGATAACCCAAATATTTTACAATGGGAAATAAGCAAATATGCTTAACTTTTGCTCCAGAGGGAGATACTAGGTCTAGTTTCTGAAGCTGTTTGCTATTCAAACATCTTTAAAAAGATAGCCTAGAACAAGAAAGTTAGTGCCTCTCTTTACAAGGTATGACAAAATATGAGAAACTCATGGAGAATTGTCTTCTAGCATTCAGATTCAGATTCTGTTTTTTTCTTAGCCCATTCTTCTGCAGAAGCAAATTCAGATTCTTAAATCTGTTGGTTAGTTTCTCATTTTATTTCAGTAAATTTATATTTTATAAACAATTTTTAGAACTTATTTTATAATAATACTAGTAATGCTAATCTATGCATAGCAATATGGAGGGTGACTCATTTGTCCGCTACAATTTCATGAAAGTAAGCTATCCAACCATGGCAAAATGAATTCTTCAACCTACCAGTTTTTCTACTCTTAGAGAGAAGTAACAGTAAAATATATTTAGTGTCAGAAGTTATAGTTTTCCTTATTTTTAATTATCACTATTATTTCATCAGAAAATATTTACTCATCCTTTATGTAATCATAAAAGACTTACTGACTTTCAAGCTTAAGATGCTGAACTGAGCACAAGTAAATTTTTCCTCCTTTTTAAAATGGAAAAGATTTTTTTAAAAAATATAATGCTCTGGCAACAAGAAAGACACAATTTTTTCATGAATTCATGGAAAAATGGAAAACAGATGGTATAAAATTAATGGGGAAAAGATAGATATACACACAGAAGAAGATTACTGCAGAAGCAAGAGCCATTTTCTATCAAAGAAATCTAGAAAATCCAGACTCAAGAATAAGAAAGAAAAAGAGCAATAGTGATCTGTGAGGCTATTATAATGGGTAATTAATAAAAGGACTGTCTACAGATCATCTGGGCCACTTCTTTCAATCCCTTAAAGTATACAGAGAGGTTGGCAGGAATGGTTTCTACTCCAACGATAACCAAAAAATCACCATAGTTCCTAACATGCATGTTGGAGCTGGAAAGAGAAATGAAAAAGAACATAAAGTAATTCCAGGCTTCCACAACAGTGGAAATAAATGAAAAAGAAAGGCAGTTCCACTTAGGAATGACATAAAGTCTTCATCACTCAAATAAATACCTCCTAACTTTCGTAACCTTGGAAGTCCTAACCCTGCCTAATACCTATCTATGTTCCTTACAGGACAAACTAGCACAGAGCCTACAATCAGTCTTACCATTCAGGGGAGAGATCTATTGGAGAAAGAGATCTACCTAATTGCAAAGGAAACCTCTATAAGCTAGCTATCAATATCTACTGATTATTAATTAAGCATTTATTAATAAATATTAACAGAAAGTCAAGGACCATTAGACATTTATAGAAAGTTAACAGCATAAACGGAAAGAACAAAATGAACAAAGAAAGAACAGACCTTGGGAGAAATAGAGATAATCCACAGAATAGAAGGTAAAAAGTATTTTTCTCTTTAAAAATATTTTATTTAGAATCCTCTAAAAGATAAGAGGATATTGATTCCCAAAACACCATATAACAAAATAGGCTGCTGTGAAAAGCAAGGACCAATGAATGAACAACAATTCTTGCAAATAAGTTTTCCTTTTCAATGTAATGGCAGTGAAGAATGCAGATTGAGTAAGTAATCTGGATGGATGGAGAAGGGGGGAGATTAGGCAGAGGGAAGAGGAATGCGGAGAGAGAGAGAGAATGAGCATATTGGAAAAAATAGAATAAAAAAGAGTAAAAAATGTAAAATGAGAGAAGAGAAACCTGGAGGACCGATCTAGGAGAGCCAATATCTACTAAAAATGAGCAACAAATGGGAAGAACAGAGAGAATGGTGTTGAGAAAAAAAATTAAAGTTGTAATAGAAAAATATTCCCTTGACCTGAAAAAAAAATTGAATGAAATAACTGAAAGAGCTCACTCATCAAGGGTCAAGCAAGAGAAACAAAAACCTACAAAAAACCCAGACACATACAAGGGAATTATGAAACACCAAGGATGAAGAGACTGTCCCAAAGCTTCCAGAAAGAAAAAAAAAAAAAAAAAAGCCAGTTTCCCAACAAAGTAAATTGAACTAACCTAGAATCAGACATCTCATAAACAATATAATATAGAAGAATATGAAACCATGCTTTACAATGTCCTACTGTCATTTCAAATATTTGAGGACTAAAAGGTTTCAGAAAAATCTAATTCTGAAAAACAAATTAAAAATCATACTCCAAAGAAATTCCAGGAAAATAGGATGACAAGGAACATATAAAAGAATGTTAAATTGAGAAATAAGTAAACACATAGATAAGTTGAAATTATTGCTGACAACTCGCTGTGCAGCTTAGAGCAAGTTAAAGAAAGGAGTTCTTTAAAAAGTAGAGACATAATATTTAAAACAATAAACAACAAGAAGAAACTATAATCAGTGATTTCAACAATAAAGAAAGATGAGAATAGGAAAAGTAGAAGTAAAAGATGCTGAAGTCTTATAATTTTAGGAAAATGAAAGTAATAGAAATTATTCTTCAATATTCATAAAGAAATTGAAAGATTAAAATTTTTTTTGAATTTAAGAATAAGCAATAAAACAATTAAAATTAGAACATATACCTTCCAAAGAATTAAAAAGGAAAAAATAGAAAACAAAATTCAGTAAAAACAATGAAAGACAAGAAAGAAAGAATGAATATGTGTCAACTTCTTAATGTTTCCTGAAAAGTTAAATATATATCTACCATATGATCCAGCAATTTTACTCGTAGGTATTTACCTAAGAGAAAAGAAAGTAGATGTCCATATCAAGAAAATATATGTTATACAAGTTTTGTTGTATTAATAATAGCTAAAAACTGAAAACAACTTAAATGTCCATCACCAGATAAATGTATAAACAAATTGAGGTAAACACATATAATGAAATACTACTATTCAACAATAGAAAGCCAGCATCAGCAAACCATCCTGCCTCCACCTGTTTTTTGTATAGCCCACATGCAAAGAATGACTTTTACATTTTTAAATGGATTTTTTAAATGAAAGAATTGTATTTTTTTTTATTTTTTTTTATGCCCTCTCTGAGGTTCGAAAGAATTGTATTTTATTAAAATGAAAATTATGCAAAATTCAAATTTTGATGCCCATAAAGTTTTATTGGAACACAGCCACACTCACTTATTTACACATAGGCTGTGGTTGATTTCACTTTATAATGGCAGAATTGAGTTATTGAAACAAAGACTATATGGAGTGCAAAGAACTATAATATTATCTAGCCCACATAGAAGAAGGAATGTATTATTGATATACACTACACTAAATGGATGAATTTCAAAATAATTATGCCAATAAAAATAGCCAGAAAAAAAGAGTACCTACTACTGGAGTCCATGTATATAAAGCTCTTGCAAATGCAATCAATTATGGATAAGAAACAGATCAACAGTTGTCTAGAGAGAGAAACATGGGGAGGGACTGGAAGGAAGAATGATAATGGGGAAGAGACTTGTGGGGGTGATGGATATGTTAACTATCTCGACTGTGAGGATGGTTTCTCAGGTACATATGTATATCAAAACATATCAAATTGATCCCTTTAAAGATGTGCAATTTATTGCATCTCAATTATATCTCAAATGAAGTTGTTTTTTAAAAATAAAACTCCATTTAAGACAATTAAAGGCAGGAAAGGCAAAAAATAGAAAGAAAACATGGCAATATCAATTTTTGTGAGGCACAGTTAAAATAATACTCAGAGGGATTTTTTAACCATCAAAGCTGAAAATTAATAAGATATGCATCTATCTCAAGAATTTAGAAAAAGAACACAAAGAGAATTTAGAAAAAGACACAAAAAGAAAGAAAAATAGTAAAGGTAAGATCAGATACTAACAAAATAATGAATAAATAGACAACAGGGGAAAGATCAACAAGGGTTGATTCTTTTCAAACACTGATAAAACTGATTAACTTCTGCTAAGAATATCCTATCCAAAAAAGAGAAGTCACAAATAACCAATATTAGGAATTAAAAAGTGGTTATCTCTAAAAACACTATAGTTATTAAATAGTAAAATGATACTATAAACAACTTTATGGCAATAACTTTGAAGTCTTGGATGAAATGAAAAAATTTCCTGGGAAAAAATATAATTTACCAAAACTAAGTTGAAAAGAAATACAAAATCTGCATTGTCTTATAGCTCTTAAACAAATTAAACCAACAGTTGAAAATCTTCCCCCATAGAAAAAAAACCCAGGCCCTCAATGGCTTTACTAGTTAGGTCTTTGAAAATTCAAGAAAGATACAATTCTATTATTTTATATACTTATCTAGAGTATAGAAAAATAATAAACACACACAAATCATTTCACGAAGGCAGACATAACCTTAGTAATGTGATAACCTGACAAGGGCAATGAAGCAAGAATTGTGGGTCATATGTACACATGACCATAGATGCAAAAACTATGTAAAAATATTCCAAAACAAAATCTAGATATACAAAAGATAATGTAACAGACAAGTTGGGTTTATTCCAGAATGTAAGGTTGATTTCACTTTGAAAAATTGATCAATATAATTAATTACATTAACAAGGTACACCATGTTAATGAATACAGAAAAAGTACATAATAAAAGTCAACATTTATTCTCGATTAAACAAATTAAAACAATCTTTTATTTGTTTGTTTTCTGTTTTTGAGACAGAGTCTCACTTTGTTGCCCAGGGTAGAGTGAGTGTCATGGTGTCAGCCTAGCTCACAGCAACCTTAAACTCTTGGGCTCAAGAAATCCTACTGCCTCAGCCTCCCGAGTAGGTGGGACTACTGGCATGCGCCACCATGCCTGGCTAATTTTTTCTACATATATTAGTTGGCCAATTAATTTCTTTCTATTTATAGTAGAGACAGGGTCTCGCTCTTGCTCAGGCTGATTTCGAACTCCTGACCTCGAGCAATCCGCCAGCCTCGGCCTCCAAGACAATCTTTTAGCAAAGAGTAAAAGCAGATGGAAGCTCACCTAATATGGTAAAGGATATCTAAAAAAAAAAAAAAAAAAAAAAAAAAGTCTTATGATAAAACAATGAAAGCTTTCCCTTTGAGACCAGTCACAAGACAAGGGTAACTGTAATCACCACTGCTATTCAGTATTAAACTGGAAAAAATAAAAATTTTAAAGATGGGAAAGAAACTATTATTATTTGAAAATGACATGAATGAAATACAGTACCAAGAAAATTAGAATCTACAGATCAATTGTTAGTAATTATGAGTTTAAGCAAGGTTGCTGGACACTTAATATACAGAAATCAACTAGCAGTAACAAACCAAAAATAAGATGCTTTAAAAAGAGATAACATTGACAATCACGTAAAAAAAAAAAAAAAAATAACATGTAGTCAGGAATAATCTTTTAAAAGGTAGGCAAAACCTCTATGGAAAAAACTGCTTCAATAGATACAGCTATTGGGTATCCATAAGGAAAGGCATGTTATTACTGACTCTTACCACAAACCATACACAAAAATCAATTCTAAGTAGATTAATAATCTTAATGTAAAAGGAAGAATCTAAAGAATAAAGAATTAGTCAAAGGAAAGAGCTTAGATTTATGGCTATAATCTGCTTTATATCTTATATTAAAAGCCTTTTCCAAAGAATAAGAAAAAGATGGACATCCAGGATGGTTGAGGAACCAGCCAGTTCTCCTGACATTACCCTTACACATTTTATTTCAAAATTCTTTAGCAGAGCTTTAAAACTCTAACAATTACCTTATGTTTTGCCGTTCTTGATCAACATATCTTATTTGTGATGCAAGCATTGCTTTGTGAACTTTAATTTCTTCAGTTCGCTCTTCCATAGCTGTGTGTAATTGCTGTTTTCTTTTTTCCAGGGAAAGAACTTCTTCTGCCTTATTATGAAGCATTTCTCGAGTACGTTTAACTTCAAGTTTTAAAAGATTGTCCTCTATCATCAAATCCTATCCACATTAAAAATTTGTCAAATATTTAAACTACTATTTTTATAGCAAAACTAAAATATTTTTCTTTTATTGCTGTAAAAGTCAAACTTGAAAATATGTTTTTCTAACTTGACTATTAACTAAGATATCAACTAGGGGTAAATTTAGCTTACTCGGAGTCATGACTCTAAGTTTTTCTCTTCTCTTAAAACAAAGGGGCTTATGGCTATTCCAGATCATTTCTTATAATTCTATTTTAAATTCAAGCTTTACTAAAAAACATTTTAAAAAGTTATTTCTGAGATTAAAACTTACAATGTCTAGAAAACATATAAAGTCCTAAGAACAGGCATTTTTATACTCTGAATCTCACAAATAATGTGGAAATAAATTTTTATTTTAAAACAATTCAATCACAATTACTGATGTAAGAGTACACAAATAGACCAATTTTCAGAATAGAAACTCCAGAAATGAATACTCCAGAATACAAGATTTTTCTGTTTCATAAACATAGCTTTTCAGTTGAAGAAAAGATTAGATCCCTACATCTTACATGTACCAAAAATATATTACAGATGAATTAAACAATTAATAGAAGAGATGAAATCAATGCAACTACTAGAAGTATTAAACATTTGTCTAATTTTTAGTGTGACAAAAAAGTTTGTAAAGCATAAAAATTATAAAGGGAAAAAAACCTAAAGATTTGATGTTTAAAAATATTTTACAAAAACACTGAATAAAAATTTATAGGTAAATGGGTAAAATATTGACAATATTTATGACAGAGATAATATTTTTACAGATGAAAATCTTTTACAAAGCAATTTAAAAGCATAAACTTCCCAGTGGAAAAATGGGCCAAGAATGTAAACTAGAAATCCAAAAAGAAAAATTATGGCACATGACATAATGGAAAAAATGTTTTAAACATTTTTATTTAAACATAAATGTTTTAAATTTTATCCCAAATGTTTTAAATGGTCACCAATTTAAAAAATACAGACTAAAACAATGAGAAACTATGTTTACCTATGAAATTGGCAACAATTTTATAATTAGAATATACAGCCTCGGTGGTGGTGAATAAAATAGAATGCTTACATGCTGCTGGTTGGGAGTATTAATGGAACCCTCTATAAGGCAGTTGAGCTTTAAAATAGTTTCGAGACACTAAAAATATTCATTTCCTTTTGAACCATAACTATACAGCTAGGAATTTATCCCAAGGAACTAACTGAACAACTGTAGAATGATATATGTACATTGTACATGATAAACATTAGAAAGGAATATATATCCAAAAAATAGGAGATGGTTAAATAAATTATGATAACTTCATGCAATGAACTTTTTGGCAACCTTTAAAAATGTTTTTAAAGAATAATGTTTTAGGAAGCATATATAATATATTAAAAACTTTTAAAATACAACATGTAAGACCAATTTTCTTTTAAAAACTGGAAGGAAGTAATGGATTGTAACACTGTTTATCTTGGGTACAGTGATTAAAGTGACTTATTTTCTTCTTTATAACTTGATATATTTTAAAGCTTTTCTACAATTAACATAAAACATAGGGTTTTAATACTATATATGCATATAATTTTATCGTACCTGTTTACAAGCTTTGGTCTTTTGAAGTTCTTTCTCAGATCTGTCAATGAAAAGGGTTAGTCCATTTATTTCATCCATAAGGGACTGCTTTTCATCACAGTTTTTACTGTTTGACTTCTTGATAAAATAAAGATCATTCTGTAAAAAGAAAAAAGTATACAAATGTGTTTTTAAATAACACTTATATTAAGTACATACTATAGTAAACATATCTTACATTAAATTATATACTCAAATATTTATAATAAGCAGATGTTTTAATCCTTCTCTTCACACTGTGTCTCCAATATAATATACATGAATATTTACACAGAAACATTTTCATTTTTATCATCTATTGATATTTTGGGTTTAGTACAAGTTCAGTATTTCTAGGAAATATTATGTACAGTTCCAGTTCAACCTAATGAATTACAGCTGTCCCTCAGTATTCTTGGGAAATTGGTTCCAGGACAGCTCCCCCCCACACACACACACACATATAAACACACCAAATTCCAAGGATGCTCAAGTCCCTTATATAAAATAGCATAGTATTTACATATAACCTATGCATATCCTCCTGTATGCTTTAAATCATCTCTATATTACTTATAACATCAATACAATGTAAATACTGTGTAGATAGTTGTTATACTGTATTGTTTATGGATTAATGGCAAGAAAAAATGCTGTTTATGTTCAGTACAAATTCAACCATCCATTTTTTTCCTTTTTCTTTTTTCATTTTTTTCTGTCTTTTTTTCCTCCATCCATTTCTTTTTCTGAATACTTTCAGTCCTCATTTGGTTGAATTCGCAAATGCATAACCAGTGGATACAGACAGCTGACTGTATTAGGTGCTCGCCATTTATGAGGAGAAGAAAGTATACACTGTAGGTCATTATGTGGTTCGCTACTCCCATTTGGGAGTTTATTGTTTGATTCTATTCAAGTTCCAGATGGTAAAAACTTCAATATTCTGAGAAAGCATAGGGTCCTGGTTAACAGTACAAGCTCTAGAAATAGATGGCCTTAATTACATATTAGCCATCTGAGCCAAGTGTGATCTACTCTTCCCATCTCTAAAACAATTCCTACCTCCCTGGGTTGTTGTGAAGATTAAAGATGTTACTATCAAAGAGTGTGTACAACAGTGCTTGACACATAAAAGTTCCACGTGAATGTCAGCTATTATTATTACATATATAATCACATATTGCTAGAGAAAAAAGAATTTGGTAAGATCTAATTCCATCAGATATATAAATAGTTCATACATACTCAGATACCAATTTTCTAGTTTTATACCAGTTAGTGTCCCTCTTCCCACCCAGAACCCAGAATAACGTTTGTGCTCTTAATTGCTTCTTGTTTCCTAAATCAAAACTTTCCAGTTCCAAGATGTTTCTTTCTCTCTCTGCCTTCCTCCTCTCTCTCTGTATCTCTCTCTCTCTCTCTCCCCCACTCTCCTTTTCTGTCTTTCTCATTGCCTATATTTTTCTAAAGTATCAGGACCTATGATTATACCAAAATAGTAAGAGGAAGAATTTTTGCATAAGAAAATGTGATTTCATAAAATTAAATTTAGAACAAAAGAATTAAAATTTAATGTGATTTTTCAACTGAAGAAATTAGTTTCCATTATATAAAATAAGGGATGGAATGGCATGGCAGAGGGCATACAGAATGACTTTATGATCTGATGCTACTATTGAGCAAAGCAAATCTTTGTTAGCTTAACTAGATTTACTATATTTTAAAAATTCACCTGCATCTCTATTAATTTATTTATCTCTCTGTTAAAACCAGAGTTGAATAGGCATAAGCACTAGTTAACTGTATGATGGCGAGAACAGTCAGGGTAATTAAAAGGGAGAAAAACTATAACCATTTCCACACAGCAAAACAGAGTAGGGGCAAGAAATATATTTGGATACAAAAGTCATCCTCCTATCGTTCTGTACCATTAATATTCTCATAGTCTAAATAATTAAAACAATACCACATTTTGAGTGCCTACTAAAAGCTCTGTGCTAAGATATACATTTATTCTAGTTCTCCCAAATGCCCTAAAATAATATCAATCTTTTCCCCATTTAATAAATGAGTAAACTAAGGCTCAAAAAAGTTAAAATAGCAGTAGTGAAATAACCTTGAAATTCAAAACCAGTTCTATCTGATCCCAAAGCATGTGTTTTTCTCTCTTAAACTATAATAACAGTTAAAAAATATTTCAACAGGCCGGGCGCTGTGGCTCACGCCTGTAATCCTAGCTCTTGGGAGGCCGAGGCGGGCGGATTGCTCAAGGTCAGGAGTTCAAAACCAGCCTGAGCAAGAGCGAGACCCCGTCTCTACTATAAATAGAAAGAAATTAATTGGCCAACTGATATATATATAAAAAATTAGCCGGGCATGGTGGCGCATGCCTGTAGTCCCAGCTACTCGGGAGGCTGAGGCAGAAGGATCACTCAAGCCCAGGAGTTTGAGGTTGCTGTGAGCTAGGCTGACGCCACGGCACTCACTCTAGCCTGGACAACAAAGTGAGACTCTGTCTCAAAAAAAAAAAAAAAAATATTTCAACAGAGAAAAACTATTCCAAACCAAAATTTTGTCACCTTACAAGAAAAAATGGAAAAAAAAAAGGAACAGCTGTCTTTCCTCTTTTGTAGCCTTCAAGGAATTCAGGGCATTTCTTCTTAAAACCACTAGAGGACACTCATTACTAGTCTTTCCTGTGGTAAATAACAACCTTTAAACCCTGGGGAGTTCTTATCCTATTCAAGTCCACACTCTCACTTTTGCTCTCTTATTCTCCAGTCAAACTTTAACATAGCTTTTATATTACAAGCATAAAAGTAATATAAAAGTAATAAATAATAAGTAGTAAATAAAAGTAATAAAATTCCTAAAGATAAAGAACATTCTCATCTTAACAGATTTAAGTCAATTTAAATATAGTAACTAAGTAAATATTTGAATAACACAATGGCTGACTCATAAAAAGCAGCTTCTTTTAGATGGCATTTCAGAGATAAAGGGCAATCAAGTTATTTGTAATGACAGACACATAATAGAAAACTAGAATTTATCTATGTTCCAAACAGGGTACTCTTAATATTTGGAAGTCAAATGAACCAGGGATCAAATCCTAGCTCTCCATGTACTAGGCATATAACATTGGACAAGTGACTTAATTTGTAAAACAGGCAATAATATCTTCCTTACAAGACATTTATGAAGATTAAATGAAATAAAATACTAGAAGCATGTAATACAATATTTAGCATATGGTAAATGCTTAATTAATGATAAGATCACATTCTAGTAGTCAGTATAGAAATATGAACATCTGGCCATACTTCTTTTTTAATAGAAACAGGGTCTTCCTTTGTTCCCCAGGCTGGAGTGTAGTGCCCCAATCATAGCTCATTGTTAGCTCCAACTCCTGGGCTCAAGCAACTCTCCCATATCAGCCTCCTAAGTAGTTGGGACTACAGGTGCATGCCACCACATCTGCCTAATTTGTTAAGTTTTCTTTTTTTAGAGATAGGGTTTCACTATGTTGCTCAGGTTGGTCTCAAACTCCTGGCCTCAAGCGATCCTCCAGCCTCGGCCTCCCAAAGTGCTGGGATTATAGGCGTGAGTCATCATATGCAGCCCATACATTTGTTATATATGTGGGTAGATTGGCACTCACCCTATCCAAAGTAGTCTTAGGAACATGTTGACTTAAAACAGAATAACTAATAGCTAGGATATTTGAAATATAAAAAGCATTTAAGTTACATGAAGCTTCTTGATCTGTGTTTCCAAAAGGCCAACTGTCAATTTTTTCTCCTCCAATGACTTCTTAAGTTCAACAATTTTTGCTTCAAGGGCCTGTTTTTCTTCTGAATTAATTTCTCCCTTTAACCGTGACATTCTCCTTTCCATTTGTTGAATTAAAAAATCCTGTTATGTTTTTAAAAAGTAGTAGGAAGAAACAATTAAAAGCATTTCTATAAATGTAAAACCACAATAAATACTTTTTAATGCATTTGATCTGGGCATAATCATTTAGTAAAGTCACTTTAGTCCTTCAGTAATTCAGGATAAAATTCTTCTTACTCTAGGGGGAACAAAAACAAACTATTCTTCAACAATTTGGGTACATGATAGACACAGAAGTAATATCCCTAAAATGTAATACCTCAAGGGGATATTCATCATGCTACTGTAATGGAACCATGAATTTACATGGACATGAATTTGTCAGAGAACATCTTCTAAGGGATGCAAAAAAGATAGTTACAAATTGTTAGCCATGAAAAGTTCAAATATGATAAACTTCTAATGAATTATTCTTAAAATTATGCTTTAGCATCTGTAATTTTGAGAAACTAAGAATATATTAGATGAGAAAATAAAGATTTAGAGAGGAAGGACATGAAGAAATTACTATGAAAATATAAAAGAACAAAATAAAGAAAACCTGAAAAAATACTTTTACTCTATTGGTCTGGGGATGGGGGTGGGGGTGGGTATGTTTGCATAACTAAGAAGCAATATAGTTTTTCTAAATTTCACATATCCCATGCCTTCTTTTGTTTTACTCTGGGTTCAGTTGTCCCATGTTCCTTTAACGTATGGTTCTCCCTCACTAAAGTTGTCTCTCCTCTTGCCTGTTTATTTCAGATTGAGAAAAAAAACAGCATTTAAGGCTCCCCCATCCTACTACTGACCTAACATGACATACATACAGATATAGCAAATAGATAAAACCTTCAGCATCTGTCTATCCTTTGTTTTCTCAAGACATTAGGATATCTTGACTATCACAACTGTAACAAATCAATATGGAAGATATTCACAAAATTAACATCTACCTGACTGTACATAATTTCTTGCTGCTTTAAGGTTTCAAAATCCAGTCTATGTAACCGATGGTTGAGATGTTTTAGAGAGGAACGGGTTCCTTCAATTTCTGAAACAACAGCTTTTTCTTTCATTGTCTCAGTCTGTAATGCCTGGACTTTCTTAAAAAGCACATCTTTTACGAGCTTCAACTGAACGTCCACTTCCTGATAATAAGAATTATAGTGATTTATAAAATTATAATGTAAAATCTTTTATTTATGTGAACATTACAATTTAAAGGCTGATAAATAAACTTGAACTCCGCCACCATTAGAGCCCTTTACATAATTTCAACAAATCTCCAACATTTCTTATAGTCTATTCTGGTAGACTAGTAGTTTTCTATTCCTGTATCATGCACCTTGACTCATTATCTTATGTCCATGCCATATTACCCTAGCCTCAGAACTTGTTCACTTGTTCACCTTACTGGTTTCTTCAGAAAATAAAATCTACTGAAGATATACAGCTTGTACAAGTTTACTGAAGTCTTGACGGTGCTACAGGGAAAAAACCACATCACCCAATCTTCCATCTTTTGTGGGGCACTATCTAAGTGGTGAGCAGGTAATGTTTAACCATCAACTCTCCAGTGAATAGAGATTTGGGGGAGAATCTGATCCTCATGGTGTAAATACTCCCACCATGGCCACTTTCAAACTACTAACATGATTCTGCTAAGTGCAAAGTTGAGAAGAGATACATAGAAGCAGACCATTATATAGTAATTCTAACTTACAAGTATAACAGGTGTAAGTTATCTTGAGTAAGCTTAGAACACAGATAATAGTAAAATAATTTGGAGGATAAATACTGAGTATTTATTACTTTTGTTGTAAATATATTTAATTGTAAGTCTATGTAATTTTATTTTTAACAGTAGCTATGTTTAGCAGCCAACTTACAAAATTCCTGAAAATGTAACTATTGACTTTTGTGAGCTGGTAGGCATTGGCCCCAGCACACTATTGGCACTATCCATCACTCACTATCCATCGCTTTGCCCTCAGTTGGCCTCTCTACCATGAGTACCCCTCTAGGAAATAGAAACAAGCCCCCCATTCCTACTGCTCCTCTCTCTGGAGGCAGAGCTGTCTTGACATCAAGGCTTCACAACCAATGTACTCCAGGCTTCAGAAAGATCTACTGTGTCAAGACCAATTGAAAGTTATCTTTTAAAATATTGAAATAATTTGCCTCTGTCTTCTTACACCCACAGAAGCATATTTCCCCTTGGCAACCAATGAACAATACGAAACAAAACAAATCTGTGATTGGCCCATTTAAATCTTCACAAAGCAAGAAACATAATCTGCTATCCAATAAATTATTTTTCATATAATAGACAACATTCACTGTCTTTAGACCCTCTCAGAGATTGTGAGGCAGAATTTTAAAGTCAGTGCTTGGTGGTGAATAACACAATACATCTCCAAAAAAGATAAAGTTGGGATTTTTTTCAAACAAACATATAAAAACCAACAGCATCAAAAAACGAAGATTATGAACACAGGCCTGCTACATGATCAGTATACCTAGTGCCAATATTAATTTTTCATAATTCAGCTAATTTCTTTAAAAATATCTGAAGTATTTAATTCTCTGGGATCAAAAGGTCTATTTCATATGAACTTCAAAATCTTTGCGGGTTTCTGATAAGTTCTAATACTATCCCAACTTATATGTTATAGAAAATCATGCTCTCAGGGGAAAAAAACCCCACATAACATTTTTAAAATACTGTTGTACAATTTGGGCTCAAATAGTACTCAAGTCAAGATTGCTTCAAGACTTCATTACTCAGAAATTTTTACAGCACATTTAGGAAGCTGGATTCCATCCAAATATAGGTGGAGCCACCTCAGAAAATGTCGGGGGATTTTGCCATCATCTTCAGATACACACACACACACACACACACACACACACACACACACACAGAAAACAGTAAAAGAAAGAAGTAGTGTCTACAGTGTTAGGTCACTTAAAGTCACTTTGAAGTTTTCAGTGAAGAAATGGTAAATCAGCCTTTTCTAGTTCCTAAAAAATTGGTTTTGGATTTAATGCTGACAACATGTCAAACAGAATGGAATACCAAGGGAATGCCAGTAGAGCTAGTAAAGTGATAGTATTTTAAAGTTTGTTCATCAAATAATGTTTCCAGGATACAAGGAGTTAAAGAGATAGTATTAATAGATAAGGAATAAATACAGATAATGAACGTAGACAATCAAGGCAATTCCATTACAAACAACAAAAAAAGACAAAATAAAATGATAATCAGGTAGAAATCAATTATAAAACAAAGGCATTTTTCAAGATATGTATGAAATATACCAAAAAATATATGGATGATGGCAGGGACATAGACACAGTAGTCTTGAGAAGGAATGGAATCTGGGTTGGTGAAGGAGCAAGCTTTTCAAAAAGGCATCAAAGTTAAATGCTGAAAGTGGAGCAAATGGAGATTTAGTAGCTTAAGAAGAGAGGAGGCTAAGATGATCTTTAGAAGCAACACATAAAAAAAGGTTCAAAACTAGATTATAAATGTGATCATAGCAAAAAGCAGAGCCTCCTACAAGACCTCCTAGTCCTCTGATCCCAACAGTCTCATTAATTTACTCTTGCTAAATTTTCTGTGAATTTAAAAAAATTAAAACTAAACATTACCTTTACACCTTTTTCCTCTTCCTTTAGTATATCTTCCAAATTGGTAGCCTTCTCCTCTACAGACATGGTTCTCTCAGTTATCTCCTTTAATTTCCTTTTTACCTTCTGATTATTATTTTTAATTCTCTGTAACCTAAAAAGGATTTATGAGGAATAGATGGAAAACATGCCTAAAAAATATTTAATGCGAACAAAAAGTACTTTATCGTAAGATTTCTTTATATAACGTGAATATTTCTTTTGCTATCAAGCTGTTTATTACCACTACATATTTATTATTTATTATTTTTTTAAATGTGAAAGTTACTTATTTTTTTAATTTCAAAATATCACGGGGGTACAAATGTTTTTGGTTACCTGTATCACTTTCGTTATGCTTAAGTCAGGGTTATAAGTGTGACCATCACCCAAAGAGTGTTCACTGTAACTGTTGGGTAGGTTTTTGCCCAATCCACTTTACCATGCCCCCTCCCCCCTGCTTGATTTGCACTGAGTTTTACTGCCCTCTGTGCACATGTGTGCTCGTTAGTCAGTTCCAATTTAATAGAGTATATTGGTTTGTTTTTCCATTCTCTAGATACTTCACTTAATATAATGATCTTCAGTTCCATCGAAATTGTCGAAAAAGGCCTTAATTCATCCTTCTTCATGGCTGAGTAGTATTCCAGATTACACATATACTGCATTTTACTAATGAACTCACGAATTGATGGGCACCTGGGTTGACTCCACATCTTTGCAATTGTGAATTGTGTTATAACAAATATTTGCATACAGGTGTGTTTTTGATGAAATGACATCGTTTCCTTTGGATAAATACCCACTAGTGGGATTGCTGGACCAAATGGTAGGTCTACTTTTAGTTCTTTCAGGAATGTCCATGCTGTTTTCCATAGAGGTGGTACTAATTTGAAGTCCCACCAATAGTGTATAAGCATTCCTTTCTCTCTGCATCCATGCCATTATGTATTGTTTTTGCATGTTTTAATAAAAGCCATTCTGACTGGGGTAAAGTGATATTTTATTGTGTTTTTAATTTTCATTTTACTAATAACTAGTGACATTGACCATTTTTCCTATGTTTCTTGGCCATTTGTCTATCTTCTTTTGTAAAGCTTCTTTTCATATCTTTTGCCCACTTTTTAATGGGGTTGTTTGTTTTTCCTTGCTGATTTGCTTCAGTTCTTTGTAGATTCTAGTTATTAGCCCTTTATCAGATGTATACCTTGCAAATATTTCCTCCCATTCTGTAGGTTGTCTATTTGCTCTGTTGATTATTTTCTTGCTGTGCAATAGCTTTTTAATTTAATAAAGCTCACTTTATTGATTGTTGTTGCTGGGATTACCATTCGGGTCTTCTTCATAAATCCTTTGCCTAGGCCTATATATAGAAGAGTTTTTCCAGCATTTTCTTCTAGAATTCTTATGGTTTCATACCTCACATTTAAGTCTTTTATCTATCTGGAATTAATTTTTGTGAGTGGTGAGAGATATGGATCCTGTTTCATTCTTCTGCATGTGGCTATCCAATTTTCCCAGCATCATTTATTGAACACGGCTTCTTTTTCCCAGTATATGTTGTTGTCTGATTTCTCAAAGATCAGTTGGTTGTATGTGGATGGTTTTATATTTGGGTTCTCTGTTTTGATTCATTGGTCTATATGTCTCCATATTTGTGCCAATACTGTGCTGTTTTGGTTACTAGCCTTGTAGTATAGTTTGAAGTGCGGTAATGTGATGCCTCCAGATTTGTTCTTTTTGCCTAAGATTTCTTTGGCTATTTGTGCTCTTTTCTTGTTTCAAATGAAGTGTAGAATTATTTTTTCTAGATCTGTGAAATATGACATTGCTATTTTTATGGGGATTGCATTGAATCTACAAATCACTTTGGGTAGTATGGACATTTTAACAATGTTGATTCCATCAATCCATGAACATGTATGTTTTTTCATTTGCTTGCATCATCTGCAATTTCTTTCCACAGTGTTTCATAGTTCTCATTTAAGAGATCTTTGACCTCCTTGATTAAGTATATTGCTAGGTATTTTATTTTCTTGATAGCTATTGTGAATGGTATTGAGTCTTTGATTTGAGTTTCAGCTTCAGCTTGATTCTTATTGGTGTATAGGAATGCTACTGATTTGTGTACATTGATTTTGTAACCAGAGACTTACTCAATTTGTTTATCAATTCTGAGAGTGTCTTGGTGGAATTATTGGGGTTTTCTAGCTATACAAGCATACCATCAGTGCCACTATATATTTAATAGGCCATAAAAATATTGCTTCTGAACCTTTGTGATGAAAAAGCCAGAAAATTTTTTAAGTTTAATAACATAGTAGCTATAATTTTACAGTTATTTAACAAAAAAACTTAACTACTTAATAATTTTCTAAATGTAGTAAAAAATCATAAAGAAATTTATATGGCTTTTTTCTTACCTTACAGTTTCTTCATGACTGTCCCTCTTTATTTCGGAAATATTTTTCCTCAGTGCTTCTAAATCACTGGAAGTTCTATTCACAGTGGCTTTTAAAGAATCCAGCTATTTAATAGTTAACACATAGAAAATACATAATTACTCCATATTCTATAAATTAATCTCATTTCTGAGAGGTTTTATTCTGCTCACTTTATGTTCTAACCTACAATATACCCAAGAAAAACCTTAACCATTTTGCTATAATTAATATATACTAACAGATTTTCTAATTGGTCTGATATCAAATTTTAATTGGCTTTGTTATATAATATTGGCAAATTATAGAGACCTACACATATATGTTGAAAGTAAATGCAGAATGTACAATATCACTAAATCTGCTCAGAAGAACATATCCCAAGATCCAAGATAAATTAATATATATGTATTAATATAAAGTGTTCAAGACAATCATAAGAAGTTTAAATGGATTTGAAAAATCTCAAGAGATTCTAATACATCAACCTTGTAACTAATGACACACATTTTACTGTTAATATAAATTGTTAATTCCAGACATGAATTTTCCCCTTTATTTATAACTTTTGCAAAAACTCTAAAGTTTATTTCTCTGAAAGAGAAATCAAGAAAACAATCCGATTTATAATAGCATCAAAAAGCATAAAATACTTAGGAATAAATTTAACCAAGGACGTGAAAGATCTGTACACTGAAAATTATAAAACACTGATGAAAGAAATTATGGAGGACACAAATAAATGAAGATATCCTATACTCATGGATTGGAAGAATTAATTCTGTTAAAATGCTCATACAAAGTGATCTACAGATTTGTGAATGTTGTGAAAATCAGAATGGAGTCACTTGTGTCAAACTGACAAAATAGAGCTCAGGAAGGCCATGAAGGGAGGGTTCCCACACACATTTGCCTGATAACAAGAACCATTCCAAGAGAATATTACAGAACCATAGCCTTGCACGAAGGTCACTGCAACCTTGCACAAAAATACTTCTACAAGGATGTCTGCCCAGCAACTATCTGATCAACCTTGGACTGATGCTAGCCTTGTTATTGATCCTTGTAGTCAAGGTTTACTATTTTAAAACAACTTATATAACTTTTCTCATTTTATCTTTAAAAACTCTTGCCTTCTTTTACCTCCCTAGATATGCCTAAAATCACGCACAGTCCATGTATTTGCAAAATGGCTTTGAAAATTCTCTGCTCCTTGCAGATGAAACTCAATATTTTTAGAGAACCTCTCTCTATTTGTTATTTAGGTGACAGATTCAATACAATCTCTAGGATAATTCTAATGTCATTTTTCACAGAAATAGAAAAAATAATCTTAAAATTCATATGGAACCACAAAAGACCCCATATATTACAGTTAAAGCAATCTTGAGCAAGAACAACAAAGCTAGAGGCATCATGAAGCTTTATCACAAAGCTATAGTAATGAAAACAATAGTCATCCATCAGTATCCACAGGGGATTGGTTCCAGGACCCACTGTGGATGCTAAAATACACAGATGCATAAGTCCCTTATATAAAATGGTATATATTTGCATATAAGCTATGAACACCCTCCTTTATAATTTAAAGCATCTGTAGATTACTTATAATACCTAATAAAATATAAATGGTATGTAAATAATTGTTATACTGTATTGTTTTTATGTGTATTATTTTTATTGATTCTTTTCTTTAATGTTTTTTATCCACGACTGAATGAATCCACAGATGCAGAACACATGGATAAGGAGACTGAATATACTGCCAAAAAAACAGACACATAGACCAATGGGAAAGAAAAGAGAGCTCAGAAATAAACTCACACATATACAATCAACTAATTTTTAACAAAAGTGCCAAGAATACACAATGGAGAAAGAATAGTCTCTTCATAAATGGTTTTGGGAAAACTGGACAGCCACATGCAAAAAAAAAAAAAATGAAATCAGACCTTTCTCTTATACCATACAAAGAATCAATTCAAATGGATTAAAGACTTCAATGTAAGACCTAACACTATAAAACTCCTAGAAGAAAACATAGGAGAAAAGCTCCTTGATATTGGTCACTATAAAGATTTTTTGGACTTGACGCCAAAATTGCAGGCAATAAAAGCAAAAGTAAACAAGTGGGACTACATCAAACTAAGAAGTTTCTGTAGGAAAAGTTTTTGTAGTCAACAAAATGAAAAGGCAACTTAGAGAATGGGAAAAATATTTGCAAACCATATATCTGATAAGGGGTTAATCTTCAAAATATATGAGAAACTCATACAACTCAATAACAAAAAGAAACTGATTAAAAAATTGGCAAAAGGCCTGAATAGACATCTTTCCAAAGAAGACATACAAATGGGGCGGGTATATACATACATAACGAGTGATAGGCGCACCATCTGAGGGATGGTCATGCTGGAGACTCAGACTTTTGGGGGGAGGGGGGGAAGGGCATTTATTGAAACTTTAAAATCTGTACCCCCATAATATGCCGAAATAAAAAAAAAAAAAGAAGACATACAAATGGCCAAAAAGTGTATGAAAAGATGCTCAATATCATTAACCATCAGAGAAATGTAAATCAAAACAACCATGAGATATAACCTCACATCAGTTAAAATGGCTATTATCAAAAAATCAAAAGATGATAAATGTTGGTGAAGATGTGGAGAAAAGGGAACCTTTGTACATTGTTGATGGAAATGTAAATTGGTACAGCCACTATGGAAAACACTATGGAGTTTCCTTAAAAAATTAAAAATAAAACTACCATATGATCCAGCAATCCCACTTATTGGTATATATCCAAAGGAAATGAAATCAGTATGTTTAAGAGATGTCTGTACTTCAGTGTTTATTGCATTATTATTTACAATAGCCAAGATAGAAAAACCACCTAAGTATCTGTGAAAAGATGAATGTATAGAGAAAATGTGACACACACACACACACAGGAATATTACTCAGCCTTTAAAAAGATGAAGTACTACCATTTGCAACAATATGGATAAACATTGAGGGCATTATGCCAAATGAAATAAACCAAACACAAAAAGACAAATATTGTATGACCTCATTTATATGTGGAAATTTTTAAAAAGTCAAACTCACATTAACAGAGATTAGAATGGTGGTTACAAAGTGGGGTATATTGTTCAAAAGGTATAAACCTTCAGTTATAAAATGAATAAGTTCTGGAGACCTAATATACAGCATGGTTAATAATTATGTATTATATACTTAAAATTATTATAGTTAATTATAATGCATTATATACTTGAAATTTGCTGAGAGTAGACCTCAAGTATTCTCACCACACCAAAATAATGGTAACTATGTGAGGTGATATATATGTTAATTAGCTTGATTGTGGTCATAATTTCACACTTTGTATATATATGTGTGTATATGTTTATTTGTTTACATATATAAACATCACATTTTACACCTTAAATATATACAAATTTTTATTTGTCGATGATTCTTCAATAAAGCTAGAAAAACATGTATAAAAAGCTAGACACGTGTATTTAAAAAAAGAACTTCTCTGAACTATTAAAGAGAATGAGGGATAACTATCCCAATGTAAGACTAAGGCTCTAACATTCTAGTGTGTAAAAAATATTTAGAAAATTAATAACTTCCTTCCACACAAAAACTTATACATGAATGTTCACAGCAATATTAATCAATACAGCCAAAAAAAGTGGAAATAACTCAAATGTCTATCAGCTGATTAGTGGATAAACAATGTGGTATATCCACAAAATGGAATATTATTTTACATAAAAAGGAATAAAGTACCAACACATGCTATAATATCTATGAACCTTAAAAACATTATGCTAAAGAAGGCAGAAATAAAAATTACATATTATATAATTTCATTTATATGAAATGTTCAAAATAGAAAAATCTAGACAGAAAGAAAGTAGGTTAGGAGTTGTCAGGGGTTAGGAGAAGAGGGGAATGGAGAGTGACTACTAATGGATATGGGTTTCTTTTAGGGGCGACAAAAACATCCTGAAATTAGATAGTGGTGATGGTTGCACAACTCTGTGAATATACTAAAAACCTTTGAAGTATACACTTTAAAAATGTGAATTATGGTATGTGAATTATATTTCAATAAATAAATTATGAACAAATGAATGAACCAATCAATCAATCCCTTCATTCTTTTCTGCAATTGGTTTAAACTTTGAAATTTTTAAGAATGCGCTATCAGCAGGACATGTAATTTAGGCAAGAAATTCCCTTGTTTTAATTTTTTAATATTTTATGTAATTATTCTCTATGTAAAAAATTATTTAAAAATTCTTTCCTTCTCTATTAGAGATTAAAAAGTATAATAACTTATAGGAAAAAATGCTCTACAATATTCCAATTACTACCTAAACATTGGTAAATTCAGATAATATGGCCTCAAAGTAGAAATTTCATAAAGATCCTGCTATTGCTAACTAAGAGGTACATTTACTCTCTCTATAGAATAATGTAATTTGCATATATGCCTGCAGAAGAAGAAAGGAACAAAGCAGGAAGAGTTTTATTCTTTTATGCTGTTTCAAGGTATTTTATCACCACATTATCTTACTATTAGATTGAAATATTAATCCTTAACAAAGTGAGAAACTGAACTTAAGCAAGTAGCTACAACTAGAATGTGAGATTTAAAACCATACATACCCATGTAGCACTGGAAGACTCTTAAAGTTAGCACTAACTCATAATAATTTGTCAATATTCAACTTTGCATTTGCCTGTTATCTTGTCACTATGGTTTCCCACCTAGACCATTGGAGAGCATCTGGTCTCCTGTCCCTTACAGAACACTAGATATGGTGGTCACAACTCCAGAGGGAGTCCTTCACAACACCACTCGGGCTCAATTAGAGCATCCTAAAAGTTCCACAAAACAAAGGAAAGTAACAGAAAGAACTAGAAGGCAGTTCCTTAATCAAAGGAAAAGCTTTATGCTTACTTTTTACAGCAATTTGTCATGAACACACAAACCAGTATTTTTTAGTTCACATACCTCATCCTTCAGCTGACTTCTATTAGTTTCATGGTTCTGATACTCCATTCTACATTTTAAAAGTTTACGATCAGCAACAGATATTTTTTTCTCATACTCTGTGTTATTCCCAATCTCATTTTCCAAAAACTTAATCTTTTCCTTAATCAAATTTTCCTTTTCTCTTGTTTCTTGTTTTGTCTTTGCTAATGTCTAGAATTAAAACAAATATGTTTACCTAGATATATGTTTACTATTACAAAATTAAACTTAAAAGAAATTTAGTTTTTATTTTTCTATTTTATTTAGTATTTATTTTACCAAAACTTCTCAAAAGAACATTTTTTAAAAGAGAGACTTTTTAATATTAATAAAAAACATTAATATGTTACAACCAATATCTATAAACTCATAGTGCTAAAGGTCTCTATATTTTCTTTCATCTACATGGAATTTTGCTTAAGAAATAAGAAAAACAGTTAAGCTTTTTATACATGAAGGGTAACACCTAAGAAATTTAAATAATATTTTAATTTAAATATTAATTCTTTTAATATTTAAAAGAATATTTTTCACATAGAAAGATAGGTTTCAATAAACTTTCCAAATACTTTACAGACCGGTTTTCTTCATCTTTTAAAAATAACCATTTTAGTTACTGGTTTCAATAGGAATATCTTCACTCAGGCCTTTTGCTGGTCTTAGAGATACAATAATAAATAGAATACACAAAGTACTGCAACTGAAATGTAGACAAAGTACTATGGGAACAAAGAGATGAGGAATTCTTTCCAAGAGGAGTCATTAGAAGACATTAGCTATTCCTGGCCTCCCAGGAGAGGAAAAAAAAGAAGACATTACCCAAGAGCCTTTATTTGAGTCAGGGCTAGAAACATGAATGGAGATGCATAAAGTGTAGGGTAGAAGGGCAGGAATAAGAACAGAATATATTAAGAAGGGATAGGGTTCAGATGAAAGGGATGAGGTTGGAAAGGTAGGGTTTAGGGTCAAATTGAGAAGAAATTCAAGGGATATGTCAAAGAGGGTCAACTATTTTTTTTTAAAGATGAGGTCTCACTATGTTGCCCAGGCTGGTCTTGGACTCCTAGCCTCAAGCAAACCTCCGACCTCAGTCTCCCAAGTCACTGGGATTATAGGTGTGAACCACCATGCCCAGTGAGGGTCAATTTTTAAGCAATGTAAAACAAAGAAGATTTTAAAGCTGGGGAATAAAAAGATCAGATGTGGTTTTTACAAGTGATTCTGACAATAGTTTGGATTAATTAGAAGGAAAAATTACCCTAAAATGTATTACATTCAAGCATTCCAAAATGAGGTCCTACGAAGCAACTAATCATAGGAGATTAGGGAAGGGGGCTGTGTTCTGAAATCAGTAAGTTTTAGAAACACTGCATGTAATATTATACATATTAGCATGTTAAATGGATATATATCTAAGATGTATTTTAAAAAGGAAATTTTAAATTTGTTTAATCCAGTATTCTATTTTTTCTACAATAATAAACATTTTATAATTGTAGCACTCTATATATTAATATTTACTGTGCTCATTCAACAAAAAGATATGTCAAAACTTCCTAAGTTTAAATATTTCAAATGATCATTCTAGAGTTTCTTGCCTTCTACTGATTTTTCTACTACTTAGTCAGATGCTTTAATACCTACTTTAACATCATACTTCCTACCAATGTTATTCATGGTTTTCATATAGGTAATGCTTATAAGTAATATCCCAAAATTTCTATACTGGAATAAAAGAATAGTAGAAAAATATTTTCCTTTTCTAAATATTTTTTCTTTTAAGAAGACAATTTCAGGATTATATGGTCAGACTCCTGCTAAGAAGGCACAGAGAAGGCAGGAATTATTTTTCAGGAAAAAGAACAAAAAAGTACAATCTTAGTTGTAGGGGATCAAAAATATGCCACCCTAAAATATGCTACTTCAGCATATTGATCATTTTGAATTAAAGGCACTTGAAAAATAGCAGATGAAAGATGAGTACTCTGCCCTTCCTTTTTTTCCCTGAAATAAGGAGATAAAACTCCTCTCTGAAAAGTGCCCTCTCTGTGCCAGGAAGAAGAGAGACATTCTCATCACCAGAGACAGGAAGTTGAGGCTGGAAGAAATCCATACAAACCACCTTGTTAAACCAACTCTTATCTTCCTAGTTACTTTTCCACAATTACCACCCTTTGTTCAACCTAGTAGTATGTAAGCACCTAGGCCCAGCCACTTCTTTAGGTCTTCATTTTTCCTGCAAGGGCTTCCATGTACATGTAAATAAAATTTGTATGTTTTTCTTCTGTTAATCTGTCTTATGCCAGTCCCAGCCAGAAATAGAACAGAGAAAAAAATTTACCTCCCTTACAGTCTAAATGCTCTAGTGATGTGAACCAGCTCTCATTGACTCACAAGAACTAATTTAAAAATCTTTTCTCAACTCTAGGTTCAGTGGAGTCATGCTAGTATGGAAATAGTTACACCATAGAAATGAGAAACACTATATATCAGGGGTTTCTTTTTATTTGTTCTGTTTTGCTTTGTTCTCAGAGAAGAGCATTATGAAGCATCCCACTTCCTAATGGAACAACCTCTTGGCACCCTCCCTACTCTCTTACAGTATAGTCAGGAGATGTCAACTTGTAAATGAGGAACCACTATTAATATAACTAGGAAGCTGCTAGTTGTATATTCTGCCAAATCAACAGACTGAGTCAACTCTGCCATGGGGTTGTATGAGAATACTTATTATGGATCTCTAATCTTGGATCTGACACATTAGATTTACATAGATGATGCAATTATGACTTGATGTTTGAAAGCAATAAGAAGTTCGGAAATACATACTAATATCACCATTAAGAATAAAGTTTAAAGAAACAAGAGGACTGACCAGAGACACCAGCTACCAAATCATCTCAGAAAGAAGAAAAAGTTTCAGATGAAAAAGAAAAAACAAAGCAAACAAACAATTGCAGATAAGGTGTAATTCTAAGGGAAAAGCACCAGAACCTCTAAGAGATTCCATGAGAAAAAGTTGTGGAGCAGAACAAGAAGGAGCAAGACATCAGCAGAGTTCAACCCCCAAGGGGCTTGGAGTCCAGCAAAAAGGGTAGGTGGAGTGATTTGTTTCTACCATACATCTCTGGCAAGCAACAGACTCCTAAGCTGCTGGAGAGCCTTCCTACCCTCATGAGCTCAAAAGCTGCTACTGCCAGTGAACTGGAAACTTCTTGAAAATAAAGCACCAGGTTGCCAGCCCCCTTGGGGTCGCTTCCCATCACCACAGACCTAAGCCAAGACGGCAGGTGCCATATTGCTTCTCCACCCACCATGTACCTTTGTCCTCCCCAGGGGGCTTCAGCCCCTCAGTTTTCATCTTGGTCTATCCCAGACAAACATTTCTCAATTCTGGCCCAGACTGTGGGAGCCACAGGGGACCAGTGGGTTCTGAGGAATCTGCGTGACCCTAGAGCCTGGACGTTCTGAGAGAGCTGCCTTCCAGAGAGAGGGACAGAGACAATCAGAGTACTAATTTCCTCCATCCAGATGCTTTGCCTCCCATTCCTCTCCACCACTTATGCCTACCAAGAGAGATGCTTGAGCCACTGCTTTCCTTCTGTGGGGCTTTCATAGAGAGTATAGCTCAAAGATTTCCTCTCAGAGACTTGAAGAAGACTGAGGAGTGCTTGGACTGTGAGCTCCCTGCACACTAGCCCTCCACAGTGCTGCTTGCCTAACTACTCCATCAGAGCAGGGCACATCCTGAAGTGGAGGGAAATCACTGCTTGACCCACCTCATGGCAACTCACTACCAGCATGCCTCTCCCTGGCATTGTCAACAATTGAATTTCAGAGATTAGGATGGACCACAGGCAAGATCTTTTAGCCCCAGGCCTCAACTGTGTTGCTTAGGAGCATGGAGAAGAGATCTGTGAACTAATCTTTGGAAAGCAAGGGAGCACACATGGGCAGAACTGAAGCCTGAGAGCAGACCTTTGACTCCTGCTGAAATAGCTACTGCACCAGCTTTTATGGAGACTGAGTGCAGGCCCACTCAACCAAGCCCTGCCCAGCCTCACTCCCCAACCCACCTCTGCCATGGTGGAGAAGAAAGACCCACCTGGAAGCTACAGGGCTCCACGCTCCACATGGGGCATTCGAATGCTTCTCCTGAGGGGCTAGAGCCAGTCAAGGGTCCCCAAAACAATGGCGCACCTTGTTCCTTCTGGCAAACAACACCTACTCACATGGAGGTAAATTTGCACAACCCTTTACATCATCTACTGACTCAATCATACAGGGTGTGGTTGATTCTTACCTACAAGTACCACCTACTGGTATCACCTACAGATACCTACAGATTAAATTTGGCATGTCAGTATAATTCACACTATTAAGAAGACCATAGGGCTGGGGAAAGAGAAAGAATTTCAAAGACTTCCATCCTCCCTCACCAAACAGTGACAGGTAATCTATCCACACATGTAGCTCACCACCGCTACAACCTACCAGCAACTGAGAAAACCACACTAAGTATATATATAACCAAAGCATCCATACAGAACCTAGACTCCAATCAAAGAACTCACAAGCAAAGCCACAGGTTCTGCCAAACATATGATACAGAACCTTCCTTGAGAGTGGGGAGGGAGGAGGAAAAAAGCCCCCTCTCAACAAAAGAAAATCCAAAAAATAAGAAGTGACAGCTGTCACAGAGAAGGAATCAGTGAAAGAACTCTGGAAGTATGAAAAATCAGAGCAAAAGGACACCCCCAAAAGGGAACACCAGTTCTCTAGTAATAGATACCAACCAAAAAGGAAAATATTAAAATGACAGAGAATTCCAAATATGGATTGTAATGAAATCCAATGAAATCTAAAAGAAAATTGAAAACCAACTCAAAAAGCCAGAAAAACAATTCAGTAAATGAATGAAAAATTCACAGAAGAGATCAACATATATATATATATATATTAAAAAAAAGCAAAAAAACAAAACAGAACTTCTGGAAATGAAACATTCATTTCAGACAATACAAAACACAGTAGACAGTTTTAAGAATAGACCTGACCAGGCAGAATAAAGAATCTCAGAGCTTGAAGACAATACTTTCAAATTAACTCAGTCAGTAAAAAATAAAGAAAAGAGAATTAAAAGGAATGAACAAAGCCTACAAGAAATACAG